GTCTCTTTGGGACAGGTGTGCCGCGGGATCCCTTGTTAATGAGAACGTTGTTGGGAAAGAATGAGGAAACCGTCGCTGAAGTGTGAGGAGGGAGGGAGAGGGAGTCCTGCCTGGAGTCTTCGGAAATGCCGGCATGTTTCAAGTCCCAGTAAAAACCTGCAGCGCTTTAGATTCTGGTTGTGGTGGCAGAGGGAGGGAGGCCTGGAATTGCTTCCGTATTTTAAAAATTATCTGTTGATATGTGCATGAGTTAAATCGCAGCAATTCATGTATTAGTTTCAATTGGCAAGAATATCTTCATGGTTTCCACAAAAATCATAATTTGCTGTTACAGTACAGACTAAAGAACTTAGTGCAGGCATGCTGCTAGTGATCTTTTGTATGTATTTCGGGGGCTGCTTTATCTGACTGTCTACTTCTACCTACCAACCATAAATCTTACTAAGTGTGTCTGTTGCTTTTCCTGTTCATTTTTGATGCATCTTACTCTGTAGAGACCTTCCAGCAGAATAGAATACTCCAGCACTGACTGCCAGGAGAACTGCCCCAAAGATACAGTGCCAGTCAGTTACCCATGTGCTTCATCCCTGAAGAGCTTTGTAGACAGAGTCTGCAGCAAAGAAAGAGCAAAACAGTACAGTGGGGAAAAGGTGTCATTAGTAAAAGAAGAATGTAGAGTTGAAAAGCAAAACAGTGGGCCTTTCTAAATGAGAAGAACAAACACCAGTGTCAGGACTGAATGTCTAAGAATGGGAAGAATATCAGTGTTTTGGGGGCCAGTACTGATCAGTTGCTGAGGTTTCTGGTATGTCCACCTCCATAAGTTAATAGCTATTTTAGGAGCGCTGAATACCTGGTAGCACAGGCTTCTGCCTTCCTCTAAAAGAGGTGGTGGTACAAATGAGAACTTCCACTGAAAAACAGAGAGGACAGTTGTGCTCTTGCTACGGAAGATAGCTTAGTTTTCTTCAATGGGCAGAGCAGGATTTCTAGAACTGCAGTTCCTAAGCCTGATCAATTTTCAGGGTCATGCCTTCTTCTCTCTATCTTGGGAAAAAATTTAACCGTGACATCTAACTTCTTGAGGGAAGCAGTAGCCTGAGGAGAGGCCAGAAAAAGTAGTTATATCATTGTGGTTTTTTGTTTGACACCATATTGACCTTATGTTTTTTACAAACTAAAAGAAGGATAGCAGAGGTTTCTTTGTCTAGATATTCACATCCTTTCCTCTCAGGAAGGTAATGATCTTTTTGTGTTTGTCTTTTGTAGAACATGACTTCAGCAGAGTTTGCAGTGGATAGCAACTTTTCACCGAAAGCTAGCACAAGCAAGCTGCATCAGACAGTGCCAACAGATGCATCTCCTGACTCTAAATGCCCGATCTGTTTGGATAGATTCGACAATGTTGCGTATCTAGATCGTTGCTTGCATAAGTTTTGTTTCCGTTGTGTCCAGGAGTGGTCAAAAAACAAAGCAGAATGCCCACTCTGCAAACAACCTTTTCATTCTATTTTCCATACAGTTCGTGCTGAGGATGACTTTAAAGAGTACATACTCCGACCGTCAGAAAATGGCTCTTTTGCCAGTCCTGATGGCCGGAGATTTCGTTATCGTACTACGTTGACAAGGGAACGTCGCACCTCATCTTACCATCGACACACTTCCTCTTCCCGAAGGACGCTGTCCCCTCCAGATAATGGAATATTGTTTGAAGGGTTATCAAGCCAACCAGTGCGGCAGAGAGATGGAGAGATTCAGCAGATGATAAGGAGGCTCGCCTCAAGGAGGCAGGCTAGTGCAGAAGGCAGATTTCTGCAGCAGATTCAGGAGGAGGACATGATCAACTTCCGCAGAGCTCTGTATCGCACTGGTGTGCGTGTTCGTAGTATTCAGGATGGTGGCCGCTATCGAGATATTTCAGCAGAGTTTTTTCGCCGGAACCCTGCTTGCCTTCACAGGTTGGTTCCCTGGTTGAAGCGGGAACTTACAGTCCTATTTGGTGCCCACGGATCTTTAGTTAATATTGTACAGCATATCATCATGAGTAATGTGACAAGGTATGATCTGGAAAGCCAGGCCTTTGCTGATGATTTAAAGCCATTTTTGCTGAATCGGACTGAACATTTCCTACATGAATTTGTCAGTTTTGCCCGGTGTCCTTTTAATTTAGAGGCGTATGATCAGCATGCCAATTATGACTGTCCTGCTCCATCGTACGATGAAGGAAGCCACTCAGACTCATCAATTATTACAATATCTCCGGATGAAGCAGATTCTCAAGGTCCAGATCACAGTTCATCCGTGACTGGTATTGATCAAGCTCCGTGGGATGATGAAACTCCAGGGCCCTCATATTCCATCTCAGAAGAGGTTCATGCAACCATAGCTTCTCCTTTGGAGACTTCAGAAAGTTCTGATGAGGACTCTGCAACAAAGAGAACTGCAGTGCAAACCCAGATACAGGCTAATGCTGGTTCCAATGACAGTGACTCTTCTTCAGACAATTGTGTTATTGTTGGGTATGTTAAGCCTATAGCTGAGAGGACACCAGAACTGGTTGAGTTGTCTTCGGACTCTGAGGAATCAGTCAAGGAAGAGAAAAGGGAAAATATCAAGAAACAGCAGCCAATCCAGTTTCACAGTTGCAGTGACAGTGAACAAAGCCCGAGTTCCTCACCACACTCTCCTATGTATAACGAGAACCTAGGTAGCTGTAAAAGCTGCTCATCCCCTGCAGCCAAGAAGATGGAGTCAAAAGAGGATGAGGACAAAAGTAAAATAAAAAATTTATCTCCACAGGAATTGATCTGGAGCCCCTCTTCAGGAAGGGACAGGATGTGCTCTCCTTGTAATCACAGACTGTCCAGAAAGAGAAAGTCCAAAAGTCCACAGTCCTATTCACAGCGCAGCAGAGGCAGTCATGGCCACAGGACTAGGAGGGAGCATCGTAGCAAAGACCAGCCTAAAAGGAAACAATCAGGAAGCAGAGAGAGTAGCAAACATAGGAGCAAAAGAAACAAGAGGAGGTCAAGAACCCGTGACTCAAGCATCTCTCGAAAAAGCCAGAGAGACTCTCTAAGTCGTGAGAGCACTATATCCAGAGAAGTAAGCAGATCACGATCCCGTAGCAAAGGCCATGGCAGAAGAAGATCAAGAAGCAGAGACAGTGATCATTATTATATAAGAGACAACTATCAAAGTAGATATCAGTGGGGTTATACTTTTTACAGTCGAAATGTGGTTGGAGATGGCTATGAATCCTCATATAAGAGGAGGACTCAGTCTAGTGCTCACTATTCAAGGCAATCTGCTAGTCCAGAATACAGGATACAATCCTTTACTGAAAGGACAGATCCACATAGTCAGAGAGGACTCCATGAGAGACATTATTACTATTATGAAAGATGCAGGTCGAGGAGTCGATCAAGTAATAGGTCAAGGACCCCTTCTGGAGGGACTGACAGAATGAAAAGTGAAAAGCCTGGTGGAAAAAGAAAGTACAAAACTCGCCACCTGGAGAATGCAGTCAAGGAGAGTACAGTTCTAGAGAAAGAAAATGACCCCAAGAAAGCTTCATCAAAATTCAGTGACTGCTACAAAAATGAAGATAGCCTTTCAGACAACCGAGCAAGTAGTGAGACAAAGCATAAGAAGAAGAAGAAAAAGACCAGGAGTCCAAGTGTGGAGATAGTCTATGAAGGAAAATTAACAGAGACAATGAGGCACCATAAAAAGAAAAAGAAAAAGCACAAGAAGAAACATCGGAAACACCACCTGAGTAACTCGGTACATTCTTCTCCAGTTGTGATTACAATTGATAGTGATAGTGACAAGGAGCAAGAAGGTATTGAATGTGACAGTAGTATTACTTGGACAGGCTCAACCCAAATAAATGAGAGGGGAAATGAGTCTCTCTCTCCTTTTTTGGGAAAGGCAGAGTGTAAGGGTGTTTATAGGGTCATCAAGAAAACTGGAGTAGCAGATAAAAATTGTAGTATTGCTACCACAAGAGAGGACTTCAGTGGTGACATTAGAAATATTGACGTTGAGCTTCAGGAAACATCAGCTGATCAGAGTCTTGCAGTAGTGGATAACAGTAGTAATACAGCTGACACAGATACTGCAACTAGCCATGTTCAAGGAGCACAAGCAGCATCATCCAGTCAACTGCCTTCTCCCAGGACTTCCTTTCTAGAGAATCCAGAGAGACCACCATTGATACTGAGACTGCCAAAGAGACTTGTCCACAGATCCTTTTGGTCTGATTCCCCAGAAAAAAAAGTGTAGCATGTTTTCCAATGAACACTTCTTAAAATTGTGAATTTGTTTTAATTACTTTTTTTCCTTGGAGAACAAAACACCTCATGTGATTTTTATGTGTTAAAAGATGTCTGGGAAATGTGTAAAATCCTTGAATGTGTATGCACTTTTAAGTCAAAGAAGATAGAATATTGCTAGTATGTAACTTTAAAAGTTTTTCAGAAGAGTGTTTGGAAGTTGGTAGCCATCCTGTATTCTCCTGTTATGTAAAATACACCCACAGAATGTTTCCAAGTTGTGTTTTTTTAAAAAAAAAAAGCCAGAAAAATGCATTTTCCAAGGGTTGCCCTCATTATACAGTTCTCCAAAAAATCATTCAGTTCTGCTGGTATTTTCATCTATGTGGGTAAAGTTTTCTGCTGAAAAATATTCAGTGATTTCTATATAAATCTTGAACAAGACTTCCATTAAAGTATAAATGAATTCTGTCAAAATCCAAATAAAGCAATAAGACTTTTTTTAAAAGAAAATGTATCTGTGAACTGTGTACTTTCCAAGCAGAACACTTATCTTTCAGTTTTGGGTGTCTTACCAATACAGACCATTAAAGTTTGTACTATAAGGAATAATTCAGATTGGAAGTGCATTCTGGTCGTCA